ATTGAAGATACCGATACGATTTCTGGCTATTTTGAAAATGCATCGACTAAAACGTTGCCAAGGTTGTTTTGTTTATTCCCAAATATGAATGGATTTTGGAGGATCATTTTGTACATTTTGACAACTTATGCTCCCTCTTGCTATTTTTTCAATATCTTTATGAATGTTTGGCCACCATACGAACGATCTTGCCAAATTTTTCATTTTGATGATACCAGTGTGAGCTTTGTGAAGTTCATTGAGTACTCTTTTCCTCAAATAACTACCCGTACGTTTCTCATGATAACACCTTCATTCAATAAAAACTCGGCATCTTTACCTTAAAAACCATGTTCAGTAATATTCTCTTCAATCTACATACATTTATATATTTTGGACAGAACGACATCGATTCGCGTGTCATGTACAATTTCTGTATGTGTTAAAGGTAGTTTTAGAATCTGTTGAAGTTGATAGCATGACACTGGATCAAAAACTGGTATATCTGGTTCTTTATTCGATTGATTTTCCATTTGAGGTAATCTTGAAAGAGCATCTGCATTTGCATGATCAGATGTAGATCTGTAAACAATTTCAAAATCAAAACCTTGCAAAAATAATGCATAGTGAAGCATTCTGGTCGCAACCATCGAAGGCAACTTCTTTTCAGGGTGAAATATCGAAGTTAACGGTTTGTAGTCAGTGATCAGTTTAAAATGTCTTCCGTATAGGTATTTGAAAAAATTATTTAAACTCCAGTATATAGCTGTAGCTTCCTTGTCTATTTGACTGTAATTTTTCTCCGATTTACTTAGTGTTCTTGACGCAAATGCAATAGGTCTCTCTGAAGCGTCATCCATAATATGTGATAGAACGGCACTCATTCCATAAAAGCTTGAATCAGTAGCCAGCGTTAAAGGCAATTTTGGACTATAAATGCATAACACCTGATTTGAAACAATTTCGTTTTAAATCTCATTTTAAAATGTTATCACATTTTTTTGACCAAAGGGTGTATTTTTTTAATAATGTATACAGGGTTTTAATGAATAGTGGGATCAAACTTCTAGGATGAATAGTACTCATTAAAATAAGAAAAAAGTTAATGGAATCATAGGTCTGCAAATGCTTAGTTTTTGAGGTACAGGGTGTCAAAGCTTGAAAAAATCGCTTTTTCAGAAATCCGTTTCTCGACTTTCTTTAAACTTGGCAAGTTTGTTTGATATAACAAAAAGTATCTTTTGACTCAATATTAGATTTACCGTAATTGTTACAGTGGTGCCCCAGAGGGCAACTACGTTAGTAAAAGTAGAAAAAAAATGCTACGTCAACATTTTTTTTATAACTTTGATATTTTTTTTTTTTTTTAGATTAAGCAAGTCATATTACATTCACAAGGTACCTTCTGTTAACACAAAAAGAAAACTTTACTAACTCAACTATTGTGCTGGGTGGATTGAGCAACCCAAAGGAAGTGTTCAGAGGGCCCTCTTATTCAAGAATCTAGTGTTACGCTCCAAGATAGGTGAGTGAGTTCTTATTAAAATCAAATTGTGTGCATATCGCGATCGATTTGATTACCCCAATTATACAGTCCACTTATTATTTTCATATTTCCTGCACACAAACAGACCTGCCAAGTTCAAAAAAAAAATAGGGAAAGAGATTTTTGAGCTAAAAAAACGATTTTTTTTTTCAAATTTTGACACCCTGTGGGTATCTCGAAAACGAAGCATTCGCGGACCCATGTTTCTATTAACTTTTTTCTAATTTTAATAAGTATTATTTATCCTAGAAGTTTGATCCCACTATTCTTTAACACCCTGTATAATGGATGTAATTTACTTGCCAAATGTTTTACAAGTCTGCCATAATAGTTTACCATTCCTAACCAGCTTTTGAGTTCTGTCACATTAGTTGGTGCTCTTGCTTTCCTTCAATGCTTTCATTACTGCCTCAATCTCGTCATCATTTTTTCAATGCCCTGTTCTGAAAGTGTATATCCCGAATAACAAATCGAAGTGTCAACAAGGAGGTATTCAAAAAGCCTCGGCTGCGCTTTGCTTCGCCTCGGCTATTTGAATACTCCTCGCACCTAAAAGTATGCTTTCGCAGCTTGGAATGTGAATAACTACTGTTGATTAGGTATTGCATGCTTTTGATTTATTGGATAACTTTCCTGAAAGCAATCAAGAACTAGCGGAAATAGTCGATTTTAATTATGGCCATCTCTTGGTTCGTTGGATTATTGATCATTTTACTGGAAGCAATCAATAGATTGCAATAGTCCAATTTCTTCCAGGCTCTTGATTGGCTGGAAAAATTTCGCGAAGGCAATCAAGAGCCGGTAATAGTCTAATTTTGATTATTTGAATAATTTTTCTGAAGCTAATCAAGAGCTCGTACTGGTCCATTTTTATTATCTGGCTTTTGATTCGAAGGAAATTTTTATCTGATGGCAATCAAGGACCGAAAATATAAGTTTTGATTATTGCCGGCTCTTGATTCGTAGAATAAGTTTCAATAGATAGTTATCTAAATTATTATGCTTATCGGCTTTTGATTCGTTAAATATTTTTTTTTGGAGGCAATCAAGAAGCTGTTGATTGTCCAAATCTTGATTATTGCTGATTTTTGATTAGTTTAAGGCAATCGAGAGTCGGTAACATTCCAAATTTTGATATTTGGGTGATTTGTTAAGTGCATTTTGATAACTGAGTACTGGTATGGCGCTTTATTTTATACAAGAACAAACACCAACAAAACTAAGATGACGTTAGAATTTTAAATATACTAAGGCTCCGTTTGGTATCAGGTAGCCCTGGTGGGCGCCAGCTTTTAAACAGTGGAGATGGAAAAGGTAAACAAAAATAGAAAATTATTTGAAAATGCTGATGAACAATAACAACTGTAATGACCCGGGAAAATAGACCCGTAATTTACAATGTCTTCACTGTAAAAATTAAATATAATCAAATAATCAAAAACTGAATCTCTAATAAATTAACATCAGTATCAATAAATTGAAAATGAAACCAATAAAAATTGACCCAAATTAATTTAAATATCTAAAAAACGTTTAATTTCTTATTATTTAGTCATCATCTAAATCAAATCCATAAGAATATTAAAAGCGAGGCCAAAGTAATTAAATCGGTGATTTATGGTCGAGACGTCGACACGTGTGTCGGTTTTCTTTGAGTTATATGTCCAATTCTTACAACCAAATCTGTTGACCCCGATAAACCAGGAAATTGCGACATAATTATTCGATTTTAAACAAATAGAAGAGGAAGGTTATTGAATGATGAAAATAGAAATTTTTGGGGGAACGAAACATATAAATACAGCGGTTTTAGAAGTGGAGAAGCAGTTGTTAGTCTTCAGCCTGCAGTCCAGTATTGAGTTAAAAGTCTACAGTACCTATAATGAGTGAGTCCGGATAAAATTCGTGAAGAGTTTCTTTTATTTTTGCCTCGGGAAAACGCGTTTGATTGAATCTTTGAAAAAGTAACGGAAAATTGTGAAAGAATAGTTGTTTATTATACAAGACGGTAAAAATATGCTTTAACTGTGAGTGGAAAATGTTGATTCACGAGCGACGAAGGAGCGAGTGGATTAATTCCACGAACAGGTAAAGCTTTTTTACCATCGTGTGTAATATTCTATTTTATTCTTGAGCAACTTTTTATTTATCACAATTACTAAAATCATAAACTAAAATGTGCTAAAATTTTACATAAATTATGACAAGTTGACAAAGTACCTAACAAACTGACACATTTCTGGTGTTGTCAATCATGCAACATAAGAGATTTCTGTCAGAAACACTATAATTGGTCACGTTCACCAGCACTCAACATGTTGAGTGATTAGTTAACGGCTTTGTTGAAAACAGATGAAAATCAGCTCTAGACCAATCGAAACTGTTCTACCTTGTGTATTCCACTTGTTGGAACAAAGCCGTTTACTAATCACTCAACATGTTGAGTACTGGTGAACGCGACCATTTATTATAAAAGATTTGAACAAGTGGGTAAAATTGACGTATGAGTGGGTAAAATTGGTGTATGAGTGGGTAAAATTGACAAATGAGTGGGTAAAAATTGTTCGATTTCACTACTTCAAATAAAGTATTACTTTAACAACGAGTTTTGAGTCGATTAAATGATAGTTTACCATTCACGATAGAATAAAGAACATTTAAATTCATTTAACATTATGTGCGTGCTCTAGCTGACTTTTTTTGAAGTAAATTAATTAAGTAATTTTACGAGTGAAAAGTTAAATGTAAGTACCTACTCTAGTGACTATGAAGTGAATTAACTTTGGAACTTTATTGCATAAATATTAATAACTCGAGTGTTTTAACTATGGAACATTATTGCATAAATTCAATTGCTTTGAGTGAAATGACATTTCTCTTAATTTTGCAAAGAATTAACCAAGGAAAATTATAATGCTCTTAACAATATTCGATTTTGAGTAGGAATTACATTAGCGGCTCTTGATTCGCGAGAAAAATTTTCTGAAAGCCAATCAAGTGCCAGTAGCTCTATAGTAATAGTAAAATTCTGATTATTAGCTGCTTATGGTTTCGTTGAATATTCTGAATGCAATCACGAACCGGTAATATGTACTTTAATAATTATATTGCTAGATCTTGATCGGCTGAAAATTGATTGACCCTATATCCAAGGTCAATCAAAACACCTACCTACTGAAATTTAAAATCACCCTCCATCAAAGTAACAGATGTGGTCAAGATATTGAGCTCCAACAAGGTACTACTTTTACTGGGAAAGTTTTTTAGAATAATTTGTCAAAATCTTCCTGATTTGCCCTAATCGACTACCTACCTATATGTAGACCAATGCAAATTTTTGTCTCATAAGAAAAGTATACCAAGTTTCGAGGGTGAGCAAATATCCTGGGATATCTAATGCGAAACATCTCGCTTCTATTGAAAATTTACCTGAAATTAAAAAAAATTCCTAGGGATAAAAAATAAAATACAATACTAAGGTAATTATAATTTTTATTGTGACTAGATGGTTGAAAATCTTAAACCACTGTTATACAGACGATATGCACGGAGTATATTTTTTTTTTCCCCAATTTGAAATAAGGTTGGTACCTACAACAGTACAATTTATTGTTTACAATTTTACAAACTATTTATTTTATTTTACAATTTATTAACAAATTCGTTCGATAATATTATGACTTTTTATTATAAAAAGAAAACACTTGGCAAATTCAAATGTACTAAAATATTGTCAATGGGTTTTAAAGTTTTTTGGAGGATCGAATCTCTGTTAATAGGGGCACCGATATTTACAAAAACAGCTATGACCTATCGTCAGACAGACAATTTTAATTAATTAATATCTATTATTCATCATGATTGATTGCCTAATGGTCAAAAATAATAAAAATAGAAAAGTCACAAATAATATATTTAAAAAAAAAAACACAAAAATTGCACTAATAAAATAATTAAAACTAAAATAAAACTAAATTTTTATAACAATGTGCCTGTACACTGAGCAAAATTATTATATAAAAACAACATAAGAAAATGGTTTCTTTGGATCTCTAGTTTTTTTTTTTTTGGTACAATCAATTGTAATTTTTTATTTGGAGAAAACTTTGTACTTACTCGTTGTCTCGAGACAAAAATGTAAGAATCGTTTATAAATACTCATTGCACATAAACTATGTATTTTGAATAAATTCAAAAATATAATAAGAAAAACATTTTCACAGCTTTACAGAACAAGAAATTATTTACATTTAAAAAAAAGTCTCTACAAATACATTCATTGAACATTATTGATAAATTTATACAGAAATTTACATTATTTTTTTTTTTTTTTGGCTTTTGGCTTTGACCAGAATATTGCTATACCATTTTTATAATTAACCATGCAGCATTGAAAAGACTTTTAAAGTTCCTTGTTCAATCCTGCAGAGTTAACAGTCTATGAAATAATATAATCAGGGATTGCTATAACTATGCTATAAAACAAACCTATTATTCTATAAAACCATCATAATATTTATATTATTGATAATCACAATTATTATTTCGCCATTCCAACATCCCCAACACAATCAAAACAGTCCTTATCAATCATCCTGGTCCTCGTGTTTCATCTGAAGGCCCCCAAGGGCCTGATCCTCGTCTCAGCCAGGCCTCTCGCCCACTCCTATACCGCTACTTGCGTACTGGCAGGCCTGCAAACCGGCCGAAGCTGATCTCACCGGACTTACACTGGGATAACTCACAAAGCCTGTATGTTGTTTGGCTTTGAGTCTGAGCGAAGCTATACTGGAAGACATTGCCGTGCAAGGTTCAGCTGCCGATCTGTGATGGTACATCGAATACGGATTAGCTGGAGTAGTGTAGGGGCACGGTTGGGACGCTACCGAACCAGGTGTGCTGGTTAGGCCAGAACCCATACCGCCTGGTAGCATCGAGCTTGCAGCTCCGCCCATTGAAGCTACCGAGGTTGCGGCATTGAAACAATTCACGGGGCTTTGGTGGTGATTGGTAGGGACTACAGGCCAAAACGGTTTGGTACCCAAGGGACTGGGCACTTTTGTAGCCCAATTGTTGTAAGTTGAGTAGGAATAGAAGCTGTCGTCGCTGATGGTGGGCATTAGGCCGTTGAATTGGGTGCCGAAGCCCGTTTTGAATTCGGCTGCGGCATTCATTGCGTTCATCGCGTTCCTCTCGCGCTTGCGCCATTTCGCTCTACGGTTTTTGAACCAAACCTGAAACAAGATGATTTAATTAGAGATTTGTTGCACCAACTATATTTTTAAAAATTCTCAGCACTTCTGAACAGTGGTCTCTAATCAAGGGGGGAACTTGTTATGATAAATTTATCATTTACGTAACATGTTCCATCTCTTCTTATTTTCATTATAAAGTTGTATTTTTGCCATTTCAGAATCAGCAAAATAATAATTCCCAATTTAAGTAATTTGAAAGTATCAAAAGAAAATTTAATTGGTTCAAGATAATATCAGTACTGCCATCTATCCATCATGAGCATAAAATGCAAATAACTATTATTAATTTACCAGTACTGCCATCTAGTACCGGATGATTTTTTTTTCTATTTTTATTATTTCTCATTGACAGTCATTGGTATTTTTATTTGAAAAAGTTATATTTATCTCACTCTTAGCATGGTCTTTTGAGTGTAGTTTTCTCATCAGTGCATATTACCATGTCATTGTTGAGTTTTTACCTGATAAATCTTATCTTATCTATTTTTGAAATATAAATATTATATATATTTTTTTTAAATCTAATTGTGGGCCTGGTGGTTCTACGTTTTTGAGGTAAGTCAATTCAGATTTTTGGGCTAATAGATAGGTACTGCTGCTCTGGTTTTCAGAATCAATTGTTAGTGTGGGATTATTGGACCATTTGCTCTAAATAGAGTAGTGTGTGTCCATTCCTATCAACTCTTTATTGAATCCAGGCAGAGGCCTATATAGTAATTTTCTGTTTGACTCCGTCAATTATTACCTTCTCGAGCAGAAGAGTGTTGAAAAGGGTTTAATTTTTTTTAAATAGAAATCCAGATAGGTGAAAAATTCATTTAAAAAGTTTTAATTAAAACATCTCAAGAATTTTGACATGTTCTGGATTTGATTGATTTCACCCTCAGGTTTATTTTGTAGTGCCTGTGGTGGCTACCTTAAACTTAAAAGGAAAATTCTGTCTATTTGGGGGAGAATCTAGATATTTAATTTCCTATTTTTTTTATCTGATTCATTTGCACATAAAGGGACTACACGTTATCCTAATTTTTTTGAATTCCACGACCCTAGGTTCTCTCGTCTTAAAGTGCAAATAGCCGAGTTTCATTTGTAACAAACTAATGAATAGTTTGGCCCGAAATATGCATTTCTATTTTGTGCTTTGAGGTTGAATCCCTGGAAAGGAGACATACACGACAATGAAAATGTGGGTTGTTTTTCCTCGCTTTTTCATCCACAGAGGCGTTTCGATTTATCAAATTTCATCAGTGTGGTTGAAAAAGCAAAGAAAACCAACCCTGTAGGCAAACTAGAACCAGTACGATGGAAGATTGTGCGCCGCGACTAAAAATCTCCCATTGTACTGGTTCTAGTTTGCCTACAGGCAAGAAACTTGGGTTGGTTTTCTTTGCTTTCCTAGCCACACTGATAGATCAAAACGCGTCTGTGGATGGAAAAGCGAGGAAAGACAACCCACATTTTCATGTTGTCCTATTTGGGTTACACTTAAGAACTGATTTTTGGTCGGCCTTTTGACGACCAGTGCTCTAACAGCAAAATGTTGTATATCTAGTACTGTTTTCTAGTCATAGATGGCGCCACGACCAAAAATCTCCCATCGTATAGATGACAACCTAACTATATTTAGTGAGGAAGTTATGTTTAAAGGCTACTTCACTTCCTTCCGAGTCGATCTCATGAACAGTCATCTAGTAAAGAACTCTCGAAACGGAAACGATAAGTACCAACTGATGGTAACGTGGACTAGTACCGTTATCAGAGGGGAAATACAAATCAGAACGAGTACAGCGATATATAGTGGTAGTGCTGCATAGCGCAGTGACGAGCAGTGGAAAAAACCCAAGGGCGAGCTCTGATGGACACGGTCGTCCGAAGACCAATCAAACGGAAACTGGAGGAAGAGGATGAACCAGTGTATACCAAATTAGTTAAGATAAAACACAGAGCCTTATCCAGCTCCTTCATGGACCTCCAACAGCCAAGACCCAGTACACAAATGAACGTCCCAACCAACAATAGGTTCGGGATACTACCAATAGACCCTACAGAGGAACCTGTATTAGTGGGCCAGAACAGCCTAACTATGTTGACCGCCACCCATTATGGTTACGGCTAAAGTTAACTACAACCAGTTCAAACAAACAATTAGTGAAATCCTACGGGGTAAATCATTTTTCCTGAAATATACTCCCAAAGATATTAAAGTGAACACCAACAATATTGAAGACTCAATGAGGATAAAGTCTCATACTATACCTACACACCCAGAATTGCCAGTCAAAAAAGGGGGGTTTTCAAAGTTCCCCCAGATATGGATACAGAAAAATTCAAGCAAATCCTAAACCAAGAGCATAAAATTACAGAATGCCTCAAAATGAAAGCCAGACAAGGTAAAGGCCATTCCTACCTTATAAGGGCCGAAAAAGAAACCAATATAGGAGTCCTAAAAAGGACAAGAAAAATTGAGCATTCAGTGACTAAATGGGAAACTTTCCATAAAAGGTGTACCATAACCCAATTCCATAGATGCCAAGAACTAGGCCACGGATCAAGGAACTGTAGAAAAGCTATCAAGTGCCTGAAATGTGCAGGGCCCCACTTGGCAACCGATTACCGCCGAAGAAGGGGAAAAATTAAGAAGATATCCCTATGAAGTGCGCTTATTGCAGTGAAGGATATGCAGCCAATTACAGGATGTAAGGTACAGGAATACATAACCAGCACGCAGCCTGAAAAGTTCGAATCAAAAAGAACACAAGGCAGAACTTACAGCCAAACCACAAGAATAAACAACACCACCTCCAAACAGAAGCGACTTTCCTGTCCCTCCACCTAATCAAAACAGCCAAAACAATTCAAAGGATCTGGAAGACTTCCAAACAAAGAAAGAAATTGAGGATCTAAATAATAAATCCAATATCAAAGAACTAATTAGCCAAGTTAGAACCCTGAACACCAGGCTATCGGAAGCCAATAATCAAGCCGAATTCCTCCTGATCCTATGGCGAAAATAGATTGTACCCCAAAATTACAGGATATGATTTGTTTTTCAAAAACCACCTCAACCAAAATAAACCAGCCGAAGGAATAGCGCTGTACCTACAACATAATACTATCTGCGAAAAGTTGACAACAAATACCACGAACATTGAATCCCTGGTAGTAACACGCCAGGGCATAACCATTGTAGTGGCCTATGATAACAGGGGAGAAGTGGGAGAACCACTATACCATTTCCAAATCCAAGCGGCAGCGGACATTAAACAATCTAAATTGTCAACAAACACCAGCCTACCTATTGGTTGAAATGCCCTACCTGGACCAGTGCGCATGCACGGAGGACATTTGATAGGTTGTAATAATCTGTGAGTTGTAATTTACTGCCGCTTGGATTTGTATCAACCATAGATGTCAAGGAACTGACTAATATCACAAATCAACGCAATTTAATCTTAGTGGGCGATCTGAACGCGAAACACGTGTTCTGGAATAATCCCTGTAATAACATAGCAGGAAGAAGTCTATACGAAATGACAGAAAACACGGACATACAAATAATAGGCCCAGAATTACCTACAAAGCCCTATGCACACTCAATTTTGGACATGGGATTAACAAGAAACCTGGAAGTGATGGCAGAGACACTGCTTGAATTAACATCAGACCACTATCCAGTACTGTTCAAAATCCAAAAACACTTGGAAACTATTTCCCTAAGACCATAATAACTACAAAGAGGCAAACTGGCGAGGATACAACGCAGAAATTAACAGGAACATCACAACAACAAGGGAAATAGGCCAAGAAATACAAACTCTAGTAGAAGTGATCATAAACACCAAGGCTAACTATGTACCGAAAGTGAACGCAAAAACCTTGGGAAAACTTCCGGAAAACATACAAACGGAAGTTAATAGGCGTAACCACCTAAGAGCCAGATACCAAAGAACTCAGAACATTACGGACAAGCTAGAATATATTGACCAAAGCGCTCTGGTGAAAGAACTCCTGTCAAGATATTATAATGAAGAGTGGAATCATAGACTACAAACAGCCAACGATAACGGCAATATATGGAAGCACGTTAAAGGATACAACAACCGCAACAACCCCCAAAACATTCCACCCATACAGATAATAGATGACACAGGAGCACAAACCACCATTAACAGACACACAGGGAAAAGCAAATGTCTTCGCAAACATACAAAAACCAGTAAACTGACCGAGCATCTGTCAGACTAACTCACAGAACGGCAAGCCACTAACAGATACTAGAACCTGATACACACGGAACCAAATAATACAAATACAGACGATATCCTAACCAGTCTCGGAAGTCCACAGATTGATAGTGAAATCCAAACCTTTTAAAGCAGTGGGGAAGAACCAATTAGTATCCAAATCCAAAAACTGCAAATTTCTACCAGTAGTACAACTCACATCCATCTACAACGCGTGCATAAAGTTAATTACTCATACTATGAGTTGTATTGCTCTGACACGGTCAGATTTACGCAATACTTGGTGGTTTTGCTTTGTAAGACAATGGAGAAACCTGAATTCTCTTTCATTGGGTACTATCGCTAATTGCAGACCGGTTTCGGACTTGTTATGTCCTCGTCAGTGCAATATAAGCGGAAAGCACACCAACTGCATAGATAACCAACTCCACAGAACATATCACCTCTAGAAAAGTATCTGCAATGTTATGTACAGGTTATGAATTACAGCGCTATCGTTGACTGAAAACCCAACTAATCGAGCATTCTTGACAAAAAGGCAAATTGATTTTTTTCAAAAATAATAAAAATATTATTTTTAAATAATTTCTAATGTTCAACTGCATTTGGCTTGCTGACTCCTTTTAGCTCGTTTCGCCTCATTTTTTTGAAAACTATGACTGGCAGGAAGCAGCAAGAGACACGCAGCTATAGGTAGATCGCGAAGTAAATACGAATAATAAATACAAATACGAA